TTCTGTGTCCCTCTTCTTGTTGATCTCGAACTGAAATCGGGGATTGCATCGTGAGTGTATTGTTGAACGTTGTTATTATTAAAAAAAAAAAAAAAATACGAGTTTTACAGCAACAAATTCATAGGTACCTGAGATTCGGCGCCACCCTCGGCCTCCTCGAGGCGCTCGGATAGCTGGATGACTTGCACGCTCAGGTCGGCGCGCTCGCGTTCAATCTGCAACGTAACACCATATAGTTTATGATTCATCATCAACATATGTGCTTTATTTTCAGCTTTTGAAGCAAGGTTTTACGCACCCTTCCACTCCCAACGACAGTTTTAATGACGTAACTGTCGGAAATCTCTCGCACGACTACATCGAACCCATGTCTGACCTAACCCGACCTTTACTACTTAAAACCAGGAAATACGCAATGTTGACCGAAAGAAAAAGAAACCGACACTACGCTCGGCCGTTTATTTAACGTTAAAAGTATCAAAGAGCGTCCATCCATTGTTGCATTTGTTGCCGAGGCTTGTTTTGTCCCGCTACAGTTGTACCAAGTATAGGAAAGAATGTATGCGAAATGGCGGTCATCGAAGCGCGCATCACCTCCCAACTGCCGACGGGCTGCAAATTTCCTGTCAACACAGGTGGTCGTTATTTCAACGCGCACCCGAGGAGAAAGAGACACCACGGATTGATTATACCCTCCCAGGCTACACGACGATAATCCACGTGACGTCAGAGTCCGCGCCATCTAATTCCGGGCGCTTCTAAATCCAGCGCTTTATTCACATTACAAACGAGCCGCATCCGCAGTGGCCTCTGTTTCCTCGAGCGAGGTAAAGACCCGCCGCACAATCGGACGTGAGAGACCCCCGCGAACTGACCCTTTGAGTATTTGATGCTGATTGCCGGAGGGCACGGGTATTAGCTTTGATATGTGCATAATCGCTGGCTGCGATTCAATGTAGCGACGAGACATTTGGCGAGCAACGAAGCGAGCCGAGATCTTGCATATACAGAGAAATGGTTTCTTTGAAAAACTGACGATGATTCACAAAGCTATTTGGGAACTGTAGCGGTAAACATTTTGTCATGGGTAAATTTAATCGGATGGTTGAGCTTAGATTGTTTCGACCGAGAGTATAGTAAAAAAATTTAATGGTTTCGGTGATTAGTTTAAAAAATGGTAGGTCCTGATGTATGGTAAATTTTGTTTGGATAAAATGTTACATTATATTAACGAAGGTATGCCGAGTATTTGGTGTATTTTCAAGGCATGATTATTTCAAGAATTGCATAACTTCTCTCTTTCTCTCTCTGGCACGGAGTCTCAGCTGTCGAGTAAACTAAGTAATAAATTGCTTCGCTGACGGCGTTTAACACGAGTTTGTTAGACTCCGGTGGTATATGTGTATATTTAAAAACGAAGTAATAATTAAGAGCTGAGCCTAAGGTTTTGGAGATCGGACCACTTGATTTTTACGTAAAATATCAATTTTCTAAAAACTATAATAAGATTTGAAGAATGCGATTGTTTATTGTTAAACTGTTTTAAATTACGGACGAAAATAAAAGTCACAACTTTATCTTTTCTAAACTAATTTTTTTGTAATTCAATAGGTTATAAATAACGAGTGTGCCACGAAAATAGACCATCCTACTTTTTACAAATAAATCTATACATGTATTGGATGCTAATTTAGTGAAAAATTTTTTCTAAGCACGAAAAAATGCCAATGACAATTTTTAATTGACACGAAAAGTATATCGGTATTTTTAGTTTGAAGGCAAAAATAATTCTGGCAGTAAGTTATTCTCTTTATCGCCTTTGCAATGGTGACGTGAGTAAATAATAAAATTATCAGAAACGCCTTTTCAAAGTCAGAATTTCGTCTAGTCCGCGAGGGTTCGGGAAAACAGGTTTATTTCAAGAAAGACCCTGTTAAGACTATGCGAGGCGGAAGAAGGCTACGGGCCAGCTGCAAAATTATTTTCCGCAACAACTTCAGAGATCATGCGTTTCAAAGGCCCTCGCGAAGAGAATGCGACCGACAAGCCAAAAATTTTGCAGTTTCCGTGATATTTTTCAGTACTTTTTTTAAGTATAAGAAAATTAGGCTCCTACTGACACCAGACCATTTTTTGCTCAGTTTTATTTTTTAAGTCTCGTATTGAATACTAAGTGGCGCTGCAGACATACAAGGACTCGATCATACGTTTTATTAGGCTGTAGACCCACTATCCTGCAACTTTATCTACGAGCAGTCCAACATAATTGAAATATTTTTTAATTAATTTGTCATAGATAATGCATACTTCCAATTTCCATTACAATATCAGTATAGCCAATGTGATTTGCTGATTTTTAGTGAACTTTTCATGTTTCCATATTGAGATTTATATATTTTTTTACCTGTATTCTACTTTCAGAGCTCTGCGGTAACCCAATGTTTGGGTGGGTAAAAAATATTTACTGCGAATCAGGAAAACCTTATTTTGATTCAGTTTCAGAGGAGCCACGAGGAACCCACTGAAACGGCATTTCCTCTGAACCCTGTCCAGAAAAAGTGATTTCGTCACGATTTTTTTCGCGCCTTCCCCCCATCAAAGTTCTCGCAAGCACCAGAATCAACAGTGGCGGCGCGAGAAACGCAAATCGGCGGATCGAAGTAACGCGAAAGCAGCCTCGCAGAAACGGTGGTGGTGGTAATTTCTCTCGCTCTTGTTCTCAAAATAGCCAGGAGAGAGAGAAAAAGCTGGACACACGCGCGCCGAGAGGCTCTACAACCCGGTCGCCATGTTCGTCGCCCGTAGCCCGAGCGAGAGAGACAATCTGACAGCGCCGCTCGGAAGATTTCGACAAAAGCGCCCGTCGAGGAAACGCCGAAAATAATCTCGCGCGCCTCTGGAGCGAGCTTTTTCGGATTCCCGTGTGTTTTTTTTTTGGTTTTTTTTTTTTTTTTTTTTTTTTTTTTTCATTTGTGTCGTAGTTCTCACCTCTTCGGCGCGAGCGTTGGCCTCGGTCTCGTACTTGGACCTCCAAATGTTGACTTCGCCGTTGGCCTTGACCAATTGGCGTTCCAGTTCCAGACGAGCCTCCGACTCTTCTTCCAATTGCACGCGGACGGACTCGAGCTCCGTTTCGACCTGTGAGATCGTTGTTTATTTGTTTGCGTGAAAGTTAAAACATTTGCCTATGACCATTCGAAAGGTCAATCGTGAATTACGTACCTGGTGGAGGGAGGCCTCGACGAGGGATCGGCGGCGCTCCTCGTCCTCCAGTCGGCGACGGGCATCCTCGAGTTGGCTGGCGATTTGTGATCTCAGGTAAGTGATGTTCTCGATGTTCACCTAAAATACCATCGGATGGGCTACGTCACGTCTCTGATGTGGGGGCTATTTTGTTCAATAAAATGTCACCTTCAAGTCTTGAACTTCTTTGGTGAGCTCGATGTTCTCCTGGGACAGGCGAGTCTTGTGACTGGTTATGTCGACGATGGTGCGGTTGATTTCCTCGATTTTGACGTTCAGCTCCGACACGTGCACCTCCAGTTTCTCCACGGTCTTGATCGACATCATCTTTTCTTTCGTGACATTGTCCAGCTGCGCGAGAAGCTCGTACACTTCCTGCTGGAATTTCGATTTTTCCTTGTCGGCTCTGCAAATTCATGGTTTTTTTTTTTCATATTATTTGTGCTTGTTTTGTTGTACTAAACCAATGTGAATTTTACTCCAAATATACGCAATACGCAGAAATGATATTTTTATTAACCTTATTGCCTTTGGATCCAAAACAAGATGGATTCGATTTTTTTGGCAAATAAATTTTTAGACCAACAATTTTTACGTTTAGAACGAAGATCACAAAATAACCCTTAAACACCGTCATTTTACAGCTTCCCTCTCCGTTTTGTGCTCCCAAAAATGGAAAAGAGATAATGTGATCGATCCGAGTCATTTTTCCCAAGCCCCGAGATTCGGAAATGTGAGAAAGAATTAACACAACAAAATGAGCTACGGCACCCACGCAGTGCAAACATGTATATGTGTATATTTGCCAACTCTGCCGAGGGTGTAATGTGTCTCCGATTCCGAGGATACGGTGAGGGTAGTGGGGAGAGCTCGTGGCCCACGAAGCGTGTACTAATATGGGCGCGCGAGAGGAAGCGAGAGAGCGAGAGCGAAACGAAGCCGCTGCCGCGTTAAAAATAGTCGTTAGCTCGTAGAGGCCCGAGGAAGTTCTCCTTTCGCTTCGCGTTTGCTTATTGCTACACGGTTGGGCGTGAAAAAATTCAGATTTTTCGCAGTGCCTATCGATGCTCGGATGTTGATCTAACTCGATGAAGTTGAAAATGTGACTGCACGAAAGAAAGTAGCCCCCGTCTCTTGTGGTGTGCATAAATCCACGCTAGCTGAGACTCGAGCGATCCCTCTATATTTTTTATGACCGAGATTTTCCATCGAGTGATATTCTGAGTTGCGAATACTCAATGCACCATGGTCCCTTGGCTCGGATAAGTCGAGGAGTTTTATTTATTTTTTTTTTTCCGTAATATTACGTTACAGCGATTATAGCAGTTGTCGAGTTTTTGTCATAAGCTCAGCGCGCGAATGTGGGTGAAACGGTCGTGCCGTCGTCCGAAAATAGCACGCGAGCTCTTTTTCCCACTCCCCTGCCCCGCCCCTCCTTGCAGTCATCGTCGTCGTATTTGCGCGTTGAAATCTCGACTTTTCGCGCGATTTAAATTCAAATTCGAGAACGTGGCGTCGCCTAATTGGTTCCCAATTAACGAGGGGCTCTTTCCGTGTGCGGATCCTCGAGTCTGATTAGAGGAAAATCGCGGAAGTGGCCGAGAGCCCTGATTATCCAATGTACGCTAGTTGCTCTACTTTGTCGGTTTGTGTTGTCGGTTATTTTCAAGTTTCTTAATTTAAATACCGGCCGCTCTTTTTTCGTGATCCGTTGCCTCCGCGAGATCAAAGTTTTCAGTGAGCCACGCCATCGGGAAACTTTTTGAAAAACAAGAGCAGCCGAGAACAATGACAAACAATGATACGCTGCCGTATACAAATGGCTACGTTTAACGAAAAAAAAAGTAAGAGTCACCTAATCCATTTTAAGTTTTAGGAAATAGCGATACTTGTTTCCCGTCTGTCTCTTGATGCAATGGGTAAGTTATTTTAATAGGAACTTCGATACTGGTTAACGCGTGTTGAGGTAACCACATGTCGTGCAACGGCGTGGTAATTTCTCAGGTGCACGAGAGTTGGATTCCGGCCAGTGTTCAGGTGACATAACATCAAATTTCGCAAGTGTACTTTACCCGTTACCTACCACCCACGCGTCGCATCGACAAATACGCCATTGGATCCAAGTGCACTGGATTTTATCGAAATCCCCCATCACGTGGACCTTACGTCCCAGCGAAAGGACTGGTACAAACAGAGCTATTGTACATTCTTTAAAAGATAATATAACTTAATTGAGCTGTCAAAGATTTTTTATGACTTGAATCCGTGTAGCTTGGCAATATCTTAAGAGCCATAGATGGGTAAAAATCCCTCGCTCGAGTACTACTAACCTAGCGCGTGCCTTCGAGAGCACATCGATCTGATCCTGGAAGTCGACGACGACCTCCTGGTGCTTCTTGCGCAGAAGATGGGCAGTTTCTTCGCTCTCCAGGTGCACATCTTCGAGGAGCTTTCTCAGCTTCAGTAGTTCTGTGTCCCTCTTCTTGTTGATCTCGAACTGAAATCGGGGATTGCATCGTGAGTGTATTGTTGAACGTTGTTATTATTAAAAAAAAA